TCCAGGGACTCCCTTAGGACTTACACTTACACTCTCGGCCTTCTAGGGGACACCCCAGGTTTTTCTGCACTCTCCCAGCTGGAAGCAGCGGCGGTTCCACTGAGGGGGCGTGGCTACAATTCCTGCATAGACCGGCCCGCTAAGGGCGCTAAGCCAACAGGAGGGGGTGGAGCTACACCTTCTTCGTCTGTGGTGTGCTGAGACGAGATACCGCCCCCGTTCACTGCATCGGTCAGATCAGTGGGCGGAAGGAGCCGCAGCAGAAGGACGAAAGAGCCGCATGCTGCTCCGGAAAAAGCGGGTTGCCGACCCCTGCCATAGACACACTCCTAAACCTTGTGGACGCCTTCCCAGAAGAGGTGAAGCTGTTTTTGCTGCAAAGGGCGGAGCCAACTCAATATAGAACCCTACTAAGACTGGGATGCCATTAAAGTTCATGTGCGTGTAAAGGCCGGCGTCCCAATATTTTGGGCAAGTAGCTCCTCTTTGTTCTTATCTTCCAAATAATTTGTCAATTTATTTCTTGGTGGATTCACTGAAATGAGCATGAAACAAAACTGAGCATCCCTTATAGACCATATGCATTAATTAACACAGAGGTGTGCAGTCCTTCGGGGGGTTTCAGCCGGAGCAATTAAAGGCCAGGAAATCCCTAATTTGCTGTATTTAAATAATCCATTTAGGTGTTTGCTGTTGTGTGCCTATAATTAGAGGAAGAGATGGCGGTGACCCCAAAATCATTTTTTTGTGCTTCCTTTTAAAGCATATCTAAACCCAATGAGAAAAACGTCATCAATTGCAGCTCACCAGTTCATAGATGTGAAAAACGTTGCGCCCATAATAGTCAGCGGCAGGCACTGGTTGTCCCCAGTGATGTCACATGGAGGGTGCGGCCCGCACCCGGGTGACACCATTGAAGGGGTGACACCAAAATGACTTCAGTCAGTGTCACCCCCCTCTTAAAAGTCGGGCACTCGGTTATGGACCGAGCGCCCGACAGATTCGGGAGAGAGGAGGGGACCCGGCAGCATGACTGTCACCCGCCGGGTGACTGTCCCCACCTCTCTCTGCCGGCGTCCATCACCAAGATGGCTGCCGGCAGGTATGCTGCTTAAAGAGTTCATATGAGTGAAACCATCCAGAATTCATACACGTGTGATTCAGTCTTTGCTCCTCCACCATCTTATTACCACCACGTGGACACTCAATAAAATGCTGCTCACCTTGGATGTCAGACATCACACAAGGTCTATTGTCGCTATTCCCCCTTACGCTATACTAGCCAGCTGGGGATCTATCATAAGAATCCACTTATGGAAGTTCTCATATCCCTCTTTGTACGTACTCCAAGGATCCCAATGGTATCTAAGATCAACCCAAAATAAAAAAAGGGGTACAGACCATCGTGCTCTCTGTAATCATTAAAATAAAGCTTTGATTAAAAACACAGGATATTTATTAATTACAGGTATTTATATAGCGCCGACAATTTACACAGTGCCCATTCACATCAGTCCCTGCCCTCAAGGAGCTTACAATCTAAGGTCCCTATCTGTGGCGTCACAAGGGGGGTGCAGCCCGCACCCGGGTGACACCATTGGAGGGGTGACACCAAAATGACAGTCATTTTGGTGTCACCACCCTCTGGAAAGTTGGGCACTCGGTCATGAACCGAGCGCCCGACAGTGTCAGGAGAGAGGAGGGGACCCGGCAGCATACCTTATCCCGCCGGGTGACTGTCCCCTCCTCTCTCCGCCTGCGTCCATCACCAAGATGGCCACCAGCAGGTATCAATAAGATCGCAGCGCATGTGCAATTACGTCATAGCGCATGCGCAGTGATGTCACGGCGGGGTGTCACCCGGTATCCCATCGTTCCGGGATGACTTAACTGTAGCAGGTAAATAAATAGACCTCCCAGCAAAGTTATTACCAGGCTGCAGCTATGAGGAGCCCTAAAAATTGATGGGGTTTTTCACGAAGGAGCCGAAGGATCTAGCCGTAGCTTCGGCTCACTTCAGTTGAACCAAAGGGCTGCTGTGCGGGCTATTCACAATATTCACAATACCCCGTACAGCAGCCGAGCGGCTCAGCCAAGCCGAACGCATATGCTTCGGCTCAGTAGAGCCGTAGTCACAGCCAAAGTGGGGAGAACGGTCTGCAAAGCCGACCGTTCTCACTGCAAGTGACAACGACCGGGCGGAGCCAGCCGTGCCCGCCCAGTTGTTGTCCTTCAATGACAGCCCAGAGTTCTCAGGTTATTTGAGGACACTGGGCTGCCATTAAATAACAACTTGGTGGAGGCGGCTGTGACATCACGGTCGGCTCCGTCCAGTTGGCTTCATTTTTCCGGGACCTGCAAGTAGATCCTGGCAGGTGCCGGCCAGATGTAAACAGTATTGATGGCCGGCATCGGTCAGATTCTTCATCCTGCGGTGGGAGTTCGACTCGTGCAGTCGGGTCGGCGTTTTAAAAAAAAATTATTTTTCGACGAGTCATCATTATTGTTGGCAACCCTGGACGACGTGATTGACCTTAGGATTACGTCGTTGGATACATTTTTTTTTTCAACTAAAGGAATTGTCAAAGTTCTTTGTTGTGTTTTTTTTTTTTTTCAATTAAAGTATTTTTTTTTCAAAAGTCTGGACTTTTTATTTACATTTTTATTTACCTCTTTAGTGAATGGGCAGGGGTACAAGTACCCCTTACTAATTCACAAGAGGGGAGCAGCATCTGGGTGCCCCTTTATTAAAGGGGTACCCTGATGTGAATACGCCCCCCTGCCCGGGCCCCCACAACCAATGCCCCAGGGCTTGTGGGGAAGAGGCCCTAGTCCCCGTCGGCATGGAGACAAGGTGCTTTTCCACGGGGTCCCTGCAAAAGCACCCTCCCAGTGCTGAGGGCTATGGGCATAGATGAGGTGGTGTGTACGTGGATAGAGAACTGGCTACGGGAACGTGTCCACAGAGTATCTGTAAATGGCACCTTTTCAGACTGGGCTAGTGTAATGAGCGGTGTGCCTCAGGGTTCTGTGCTGGGTCCGATACTGTTCAACCTATTCATTAATGACATCGGGGAGGGAATAAATATCCATGTTTCCGTGTTTGCAGACGATACAAAAATAGGGAGGGTACTAGAAACGGATCGTGACAATATAACATTGCAGTGTGATCACAGAAGACCATCAGGCTCACATTAAACTCAGAATGCAAGTGAACAACACATTGTTGTGGGCTCTCTTTTCCCTTACACCGGTACTGTGGGCTGGACCCTTGTTATACCGTGCACTCAGATCACCGACAATGCTGTAACACGCTGCATTACAACAAAAAACACAAAATTGGAATTTCATTTATAAATAACTGCAATTCTTTGTACCAAAATCATAATTTTATGGTCATTTTTTAAAGAACAAATTATAGAAATAAATTTATACTTTATTTTTTCTTAACTATGCAGAAAAAAGAACCTTTTTATTAGTTTTATCACATTTACTGTCTATGGATTGAATACAAAATAAAATCATTTTTGCAAGACATTATCACCAAAATAAAAACCTTGCTTGGCTTACAGAACAATAGATGTGTTTTTCTTATGTCATTACAAAGGTATAGTGGAATAAACAGCCCTAAAGTGGAAAGGTGCACCCGGACCCGGCATTTACCAACAGTGCTGCTGATTTCCTATGACCTCCACTGATCACCGGTCATTCCAGCACAGGAAGTCTCCCATCACTAACTTCTTTGTGTCTCTTTACATTAGATCACGTGACCTGTAAAAGCCACAAATAAGTTATTAGTGATGGGAGGACTTCCTGTCCTGGGAGCTGATTGCCTGTATTTGCAACGATCGCTGCAGATTCGAGGAAATCAGCAGTACTGAATACCAGGGCCACCCTAGGGGGTAGTGTAGAATCTTCTAGATAGCCAAAAATGGTGCCAACATGCGCAGTAGTGGCAGGTAGGTAATAACATTGTGTTGCTACTAAGCATGCGCAGTAGTATCAACATTTAGATATAGACCATCATCATCCACAACAACAGCCATACCTAGTGGGACACCTAGAGTGGTCCCTGCAGCAGATGAGCCTGTGTTGCAATGGGACATGGTCTTCCTAACCACCCCCCTTTATGCCTGTACTCTCACCACTATGCCTGCAACTACCCCATCACCACTGTGCTTGCACCCCCTTCTCACCACCATGTCAGAAACCTCCCCACCACCTCACCTTTATGCCTGTACTCTCACCACTATGCCTGCAACTACCCCATCACCACTGTGCTTGCACCCCCTTCTCACCACCATGCCAGAAACCTCCCCACCTCCTCACCTTCATGTATGTACTCTCACCACCATGTCTGCAACTACCCCCCATCACCTTCATGCCTGCACATTCACAGCTGACTCCCATCTTCCTCCCCCCCACCACCCATGTATACCAACCCTACTCTCACTACTGCACCTGACCTCCATTCTCTACCTGCTCTCTACACTTCACTTGCCACTTCACCAACACCCGTATTTGCTCATGCCCATTGAACCCATGCCCATTCCTGAGCTCACTCCCACTGTTCCAATGTACACTTCTGTGCTCTGTGCTACTGCTAATGCAGCGGACACACCCTTCCATAGTCGGCCTGGTACATGAACGGCACACTTTTGCTTGTATGCATTAAAAAACTGATATGAAACATAATTTTAATAACTTATAATGAACAAAGAGCAATCTGCGTTATCAATGGCAGCTTAGGGAAAGTCGGGAAGAAGTGGAAAGAATGGGCAGACAAAGGGGGAAGGGGCTAAGGGAGAGGAAGGGAGGAGAGGTGCCCTTTGCATAGTGGGATTAAAAACCTGTAAGCTTTACGAGCCCCTCGCAGCATAAAACTAAATTTTTTGTTTTTTAACAAATGACTCAAGGTGAAATATGCCGATGCCATTCTGCTGCACTTCATTTCCGTGTACCTCTTCGTGTTTGCCACTTATGTAGACAAATACAGCAGATCATTTCATCTGGATGGTTGTCCATTTTGGCCCCTCATTTATTTTCTGCAAATAATAAATAACTTTTATTTTCAAGGCTTGGGTCCGAATTCCATATATCAGAGGATTAAGCAGTGGTGGGAACACGAGGGGAGTCACGGAGAGGAGGACATGGACCATTAGAGGGAGGTTCACTCTTTCCAATCTGTACCTTAAAAAAACAAAGAAAACACCCATCAAAAATATGGAAAAGTTGAGTAGATGCGTCACCAGGGTGTGGAAGGCTTTCCGACGGGACTCTTTGGAGACTCGGAGGCAGACCATAAATATCCTGAAGTAGGAGAAGACAGTAACGGAAATAGTCATGCAAAAGTACACATAGGTTACCGCAGATGCATAAATTCTATTCACAGAAGCGTCCAGACAAGACAAGACAATGAAAGACATGTTGTCACAAAAAACACTGTTTATTTTATCCCCACACAGAGGAAGATTCCACCCCATAAGGACAGCTACGAAAATACACGTGAAGGACGTGACCCAACATGTGGCAGCGATCTTCAGGACCTTGTCGTTGGTCATCAAGCTGGCATACTGCAGAGGTTGACACACGGCCAAATAACGGTCGTAGGCCATAACCGTGAAAGTGCCCATTTCAAAAAGTACAAAAGTGGAAATGCAAAGAATTTGGATCAGGCACTCTCTATGAGAGATCGTCTTGGAGGAGGTGATCAAGTCCACTATCAGTTTGGGAAAGAACGAGGAGCTCCCAAAAATCTCGTTTAAGACCAGGCTGGCTATGAGAATGTACATTGGTTCATGGAGAGTCCTCTCCTTCACCACCACCAGCACAATGATGCCATTCATCATCAGAATAAATACATAGATGACTGTGGAGAATAGGAAGTAGGGATATTTGTGCATCTCCATCTCTACCAGCCCCAGGAGCGTGAAGCTGCCGCTGATGTTAGAAATGATCTCCATCTTAGTCCGATCTGTTAAAATCAAATAAATTGTCTTATTTTAGTTACTTATGACACAAAATAGATAAAACCATTTCCTCAGAAGCTCAGCGCTCAGAAACAGTCAGATGTACTGAATAAACTTAATTTTAGCGAGCCTTATAGTAACGTTCAATATACTGTACTATTGCTATGGAGGAACTTGGTATAGGACATGGCACGGCAGGTTTTGAAATTTTTTCGAAATGTATGTCAAGTCAGAGATTGGATTATTTTATATGTTCATAAAGTGCTGACAAAAATATTCCACATCACTTTAAAGCCTTTGTTCTCAACTGGTTTGTCGTGACCAAAAAGTGGGTTGCGAACCTGTGTTCAGTGGGTTGCCGCGTGCCTTTCACTTTTCTGGGTGAGAGGCTCCTCAGCCTCCTCCTAGCGCAGCACTGTCAGTTCTTTCACCAAGCAGCCATTTAAAATATGCTGCCCGGCGCCGAGTGTCAGCTTGAGGTGTGCTGGGGGTATGGCTGCGAGGGAGCTTCATCCATATGTGCATTGCTTACAGCTCCCTCACGTGTCCTGTAGAGGTGCCTGGACCGGAGTGATGTCACATTCTGGCTCCCGGCATCTCTACAGGGTGTGCAAGGGAAATGTACAAGCAATGCATGTATGGATGGAGCTCCATCACAGCACAGCAGCCCACACTGGACCCCAGGCTGAGGATCCACTCCGGTTCTCGTAAGATAGGGAGACTGGGTGGATCTTAAGAAAAAAATTAACATTTTTGGAGTGTGTATGTGTGTGTGTGAGATTGTGTCTGTGGTTGTGTATGTATGTCAGTGTTTTTGAGATCCCATTCATTAATTTAAAGTGACACTAAACTTAGGAATTATACCTTAAAAATGCATTGAAGTACCCTAATCATTAACAGACATACTGTATATCTTATTTGTATATCACTCGGCTGTAGATCCTCCAATCATCTCTGAATTGGTGCTGACACTGTCCTTTTTTCTGGAGGGGGGCTACGTCTGTCCCCATGGTCCCTGTGTGTGTTGTAAAGTAGTCACCGCTCCAAGCTCACTCCTGTGATGGACTACAATCTCAATACAAATTAATAAACTAAACATGAGATTGTAGTCCATCACAGGAGTGAGCTTGGAGCGGTGACTACTTTACAACACACACAGGGACCATGGGGACAGACGTAGCCCCCCTCCAGAATGAATGGGATCTCAAAAACACTGACATACATACACAACCACAGACACAATCTCACACACACACATACACACTCCAAAAATGTTAATTGTTAAGATACATTGTTGTTCAGAGTTATGGTAGATGAATGTATTTTTAAGATTTAACTCCTGAGTTTAGTGTCACTCTAAGCCCTCATTCACACTGTAATCAACCGGCATCTCTGTGCAGCTCCGTGCTGCGTGCAGGGCCGTACCAAGCAGCTCCAAGGAGGGGTGTGTGTGTGTGTGTAGCGGTGCGAGTGCTGAAGTGGTTAATCCGCCTCCTTGTGTTTTTTTTTACCATCAATTCTTATTTTCACCCATTGAATTGATATTTTGCAATCATTATAGCTTCAGGAATTGATATTATCATTATTGGAGAATCTTTTGTCAGTTTGTATTTGTTAACAGACTGCCTGCGTATTTCCAGTAGAATGATCACTCATTGTTCACGCATTGTCCCTGGTAATGGGCAGCGGTGTGCTCTCTGGCAGGTGTAGGAAGGGTCCGTATTGTGTACTGTACCTGGTGCTCTGGAGATCTGCGGCGGAGTCTGGAACTGTCATTGTGCTCTCAATATATAGCATTACAGTGAAGCATTACAGACGGTGAACCTTTGTCATGTAGAAATCCCCAGGGCTGGGAAATCCCTCCAGCAGATGGAGGAAACTGATGAGTCGTGTTCCATAGTGAGGACGCAATGTAAAGTCACCGGCACTCCGAATGTTCCATAACTTTTCTTTATTTAGTGCCAGAACCTCATATCACCAAGTGTAGCAATGTTTCAGAACCGGGCGCGGTTCCTTCATCAGACAAAGTGATGGTCTCAATGATCCATAGTGAGACCCCACCAAGAAATCTATAGGAGCCAGTGCACATACTGAAGTGTGTAGATGTTAGACTATAGTCAATACCCAACTTCATGAAAGCAAATGTATGAGACGTTGTAGGATGATGAGGTCATACATCCCCATAAAACTATTAACCAATGTCCATGGCAAGTATAAAGTGGGCCTCTTAGTAACGTCTACATGAATAAATTCCTGACATGTCACAATATACATCAGCATGATCACTTCTATCTTTTTTTTTTCCAAAATGTTTTATTTTATTTATAATTTTGCATAGTAGTACATATAGAATATTGCAGAAAGCACCAAAAAGGTGCATAATGTAGATATACATGTAACATACTGGGTATGAATATTCACTTGATCATATTAAAACTTATGTGCACGGACAACAGTCCGGTATGCGTATTGACGACGCATGGAACTGACTTCGCCAAAGACCCAACCTAGCCTGATAGGTCGGCCTATAGCTAAACCGGGCCCTTCTGCGTAATCTTATATACCTATAACGGATTTCCGTAAGTATGACACTGGTAGTCAGTAAGATAACACATAAAGAAGGACAGAAGCTAGAAGAGAAACCAGAAAAGAAGGGGGAGGAGGGGAGGA